TATGTATTCCCACACCTTTCCTTTAAATGATTTCTAACAAAAATGTTTCTTTTGTGGTTGTGTCTAGAAGTCATTAGCACTTATTCCACCATAAAGAGACAGCTGTGACTGCTGATGTGTTGTGCACTTTAAATACATATAATCATCCAGGTATACTGGTCATTTTATCTATGGTATCTCCCACTCCTGGTTTTGTTTCTCTACTGTATCTCTCTTTTATTGTGTAAAGGTGATATACAGAATATAAAATAAAACAAAATAAATACATCAAATACACATAGTACAAATACACCTTTTTGGAAAACAATTAAAGAACTTAAGAGTAAAAAATATTTTTATACCAACTAGCAAATGAAAAACCACCTGTTCTTTCAGTTGTCCAATGCCTCTACTCCGCAATATCTGTCATTTCTATTTTTTTTAAAATTGCAATGACAGAATGACAACTTGTTATTCTAAGGACCATCCCTTGGAATGCCCCTTTTCATAATGCCAAGCACTGAAATGGACAGAAACTGTCATGGACCCCATCTCACACTATTTTTGCTAATTTCACAATTTCTCTGTGACCACAGATCAGCTCAAATGAACACTAGATCTGTAGTTCACTCCGGCAGGGGGGGGGGGGGGGCAGAGGCACAACTACTGGAAGTACGGCTGACAGTGCAGTAAGATGAAAATCATGTAACTCTCAAACTGTTATTCCAGTACCCCTCACCAATAGCTTTGCTGGTTAGATCTTCAACTTAAACAACGTCCGGAGGCTTACACAATTCCCACTTCTGGCCTATAGACAAGAGCGAGAAGCATAGATTATCATATCATTACTTAGAATTGCTTTTAATTAAAAGTTAAATGGTTTCTTATTCCCATCAAATCAGTATCTAAATAACCTGGTCCTGGAACAGTACTACTTACTATATGTATTCCCACCCTTTCAATATGAGATATTCAAAGGAACTCTATTAAGGCGATCAGGATCAGCACTTTTATCTTTCAGACACCACACTGAATTCTGTACTTGGAAAAGTTCAGTATCAACTTTTCTCCCCCTCTGTCATCTGGTATTCTTTAAATCTTGATACAGACATACTGCCTTTTTTGTGCTTACTGCCACCATTGTTATGCCAGCTCATCAGAGTCAGTTTGGACACTCTACTGTATTTGTAATATAATTAATTACAGATGCTATATTTTGGTAATGTTTGACAGATGTGGAGCTGGCATATTGTTTTTAATACTTGTATTCTTTAAATTTTATGGTCTTATGTTGCATTTCAGAGTTTACTGTATAGCCTGGTAGTATATTAATTGTCAGTATAAAATTGTTCTTGTTTGTTATTTAGCCGGGTAGTATATTAATTATCGGTATAAAACTGTGTTGTTGTTTTCTTGTTGTTGTTACTGTTGTTGTTGTTGTTAATAGACATGGCACTTTACAAGTTATATAACAACAACAACATTCATCCAGATCTTCCCAATAAATAAATGTATTTTATGTTAACAAGAATAAGCAAAGCAGGTGGCAGGATATGGAGAGGTTTTTTTTCAAGCCATAAACAAAGACATTTGGATAAGGTTTTTTCAAGTGTTTCAGCCTATACCTTTGCCTAACTTTGACAGCATGAACCTCTGCTGTAGCATCTATAGGAAAGTTATATTCTGGGATGAGACAGGAACAACCACCCAATAATTTTGATTCTGGTTTGGACGCATTTACAGATGGGCCCAACTGGAATTGCAGTTTTCACTCAGGTAGGGACAATATATAGATTTCTGCATGCATGCACTTTCACCAATAACCTTTGAAGTGTCTGCTTTATGGTAGGTTTCACTCCGGTAGGGACAGTGTATAGATTGGTGCATGCATACAATTTCAGTAGTAGCCTTGGAAGTGTCTGCTTTATGGTATGTTTCACTCCGGTAGGGATGGTACATAGATTTCTGCATGCACGCACTTTCAGCAGTAGCCTTGGAAGTGTCTGCTTTATGGTAGGTTTCACTCCGGTAGGGATGGTGCATAGATTTCTGCATGCATGCACTTTCAGCAGTAGCCTTTGAAGTGTCTGTTTTCTAAAGAGTTTGGCAAGGCTTAAACAATTGTATTCACTTGGGTTTTTAACAAATGGAGGACATCATTTTGTTTATGATGTTTGTTTTGTTGCATGTTTCATTATGCCATGTTGTTGTTGTTTTTCGTGTCAGAAATGACTTGCTAGTCGCTTCTGGTGTGAGAGAATTGGCCTTCTGCAAGGATGTTGCCCAGGGGATGCCCGGATTTTTATCATCCTCTTGTCCCTGCATGGGAAGCTGGAGCTGACAAATGTGAGCTCACCCCATCTTGCGGATTCAAATCACAGACCTTCAAGTTAGCAGCAGCCAGCACATTGCACCATTGTGGCTCCATAGTTTCATAGTTTCACTGCGGCTTCACAATGCCAGTGATACTTTTCTTTGTTTTACTTGGAATTCTGCATCTTCCTTTATTATATGTCGGTTTCCTTTGACTGTAAACCATCTTGTAAATCCATTTGATTGAATATAGATCCACATTCCTGAAATAGATACAAGTGAATCTAAAAATGTATGAGATTAATTTTCTAATCCTGAAAGATAGGTAGGAGATTCTTCGATGTCATGCTTACCTTTACGAAGTGGAACATTTTGGTTTAATGAGTTAATCCATCACATAAAATGCTTTACCATTTTATCACAGTTGTGAAATACAAGATATGTTAGATCTAGATTGCTATCCCAGTGTTATTTAATTTTTTATTTCTTACACATGTATCCTGCTTTTCGAACAAATAGCACTCCAGGTAACTAATAACAATAAAAGAGAATATAGTGTAGATGAATTGTTGCTGGATGTGGAAAATGGCCTCAGCCAATTGAACCATCAATTGCATAGAAGACTGGCTAAAAGGAATTTATAGATTTCTTTCCACATGCACACTCTTACCTCCTTTTTCATGTACAGGCTGTTTAATACTTCCTTTTGGAGGGATTTTTAACTAGTAAAGAGATATAGAAAATGGGGAATACACAATAAAATTATTTCTGGCATCACAAATTCATTATGGGTTTTCTAAACAGTATATCTTTTTATGGTGTATAACACCATATAATGATGTACAATGAAAAATAATCCAAGATAATAAAGCAACAATAAAATGCAATGTTAAAAATACATAAAACAAAGCAGCTAAAACAATAACCTCAATTAGAACAATTGGGTAACATGAATGTATCCACAAATTAGCAAGAAGAAGGATCAGAGATATGGGGCCAGCCAACAGAGCAAAGCTATGCTTTTTAAATGATTATGCAAGAAAAAACATTTCAATGACTCTTTCAATGGAAAACAAGGAGGCTTCACAAAAATATATATGTATATACTGCTTTCGATCTTATTTTAGTTCTTTTGATGTTCTACTGGAATCACAACAAATAATAGAGTCCTTAAGATATTATAAAAGTAAGATAATGTTGTTGTAAAACTAAAGAATGGGATACCATTTATAAGGATTGTTTAATTGTTTTGGACTTGCATGTTTACCTTACAGAACTTTGAATGTTGGGTGGAAGTTCGGGGAGATCATGATGAAGGGAAGATACTTTTATTGTTCTATCATTATTCTGTTGGACACCATCGTCCCCATGCTACTTCTTCTCTAATATAACAAACAGCTACGGGATGTAATGGATGTCTTACCAATAAGGGTTTAAATGCTAAGAAAAACCCTTTGTCTCTATGCATCCCTTCCTTATCATACTAGCTCTTCTGTGTGTTGTCAAAAGCCTTTCATGGCTGGAATCACTAGGTTGCTGTGAGTTTCCTGGACTGTATGGACATGTTCCAGAAGCATTCTCTCCTGATGTTTCACCCACATCTATGGCAGGCATCTTTAGAGGTTGTGAGGTCTGTTGGAAACTAGGCAACTGAGTTTTACATATCTGTGGAATATCAAGGGTGGGAGAAAGAAGTCTTGTTTGTTTGAAGCAAGTGTGAATGTTGCAATTGGCCACCTTGATTAGCATTTAATGGCCTTGCAGCTTCAAAGCCTGGATGGTTGCTGTCTGGGGATCCTTTGTTGAGAGGTGTTAACTGGCCCTGATTGATTCTTGTCTGGAATTCCCCTATTTTTTGAATATTACTATTTATTTACGGTCCTGATTTTAGAGGTTTTTTTTAATACTGGTATCCAGATTTTGTTCATTTTAATAGTTTTCTCCTTTCTGTTGAAATTGTCCACAAGCTGCAAGGCCATTAAATGCTAATCAAGGCGGTCATTGGCAACATTCACACTTGCCTCAAGCAGACAAGAGTTCTTTCTCCCACCCTTGACATCCCACAGAAATATAAACCGCACTTGCCTAGTTTCCAACAGATCCCTCAACCTCTGAGGATGCCTGCCATAGATGTGGGCGAAACGTCAGGAGAGGATGCTTCTGGAAGATGGCCATACAGCCTGGAAAACTCACTGCAACTTAGCTCTTCTAGTTTGTAAAAAATTAAAAATTAAACATGCAAGTCCAAACTACAAATGTAAATGTGTAATTTCATCCGTTTTAGAGTACTAGGGATCGAGTGACACCACAGTTAAATTTACCTGTTTATTTTATTTACAGAGATTTTATTCTAACCAGAATTTACAACCAATATAGCTGAGTTATCTTCATCATACCTCACTGTGACAAAAACAAGCACTAGTAAACTATGAAAGAAATTAGGAGATTGAGTTACTTCATGGGCTGAAAATCTCTGTAAAAATTAACAGGCAAATTCATTGTACATTTTGATATTTTATAGAAGTAAGTATGAACTCTCTCATATTTGGGGCACTACTGTGGCTGGATGACCTCCAAATTTTAAGATACGTAGTCTTGAATGAATTAACTCCTCTGTTTTTACTGATGTTCTATTACTCATTATCCATTTTTAAGAACCTGCTCGTGCACGGATACATGTATACATTAATATTTTGCTTAATACCCAGCCAAGCTGGTCCAGAGCTTCATATATGCAGGTAGGCAATAGATGTTCTTGTTGTGTCCTTCTATTTAGATGTTACCGCAGCTGGACCAAATTTTTCTCACTGAAGTCATTGGGCTGTGTGACTGTAGCTAAGGACAAGCTCTTCATCCACTGCCCAGCTTGGTATTCTATTGTAACTATATGTTTTCTGGCAGTCATCTATTTACCAGTATGTTTATTTAAAGGGTAATAGATATTTCATTTTGGATATTATCATCAGAAATGTCTGGATGTTGGGTCTGGGCTTTCAGAAGAATTTCAGTTCTTCAAGAGAAGCAGAGGTGTGTAGGTATGCTCCCTCTGAACTAACTCAGCATATATTTCTGTTTATAATTGTAATATATACAAAGGGAAGACTAAGGTAATTAAAAGACAGCTTCTGTTCTTATGGTTACATAATTGACTTCAGAAGTATGTATTTAAGGATAAATTTGGTCCTCTTACTTTTTGTCTGATTTGTTCTTAGGATTTTGACTTTAAATATAGCAACATTGCATCGCTTAACAGGTATCTAAATACTTCCGGTTTTGGTATTTTTAATCTGCATATTAAAAACCTAATAGCTCTCATTTTCTGCTTCTGTAAATAAAAATAAAACTCAGAATTCTGTTTTTTACTACACCATTTGTGAAGTGAGGTAGCATGGTCACCAAAGATTGGGCCTTCTCAGTAACAGTTATATATCTGAAGCCAAATGTTATGACTTTTTAATACTCAGTGGAAGTGTTTTCCTGTGATTGTAATTGCTTGGCTTTTAATAGTGTTCTTGTTACTTTCAGTGGCATGGTGGTTTTTTAATGGCCCAGGAAGATCGGCGTTACTGTTGGAAAATGCTGAGTTTTTTATTTTCCATATGATTTTCTTTCATTTTTTATGATATTGCAAACCAACTTGGTAATGTTGTATTGGAAACTGGATAAAGTATTTTCCTACCAAATAACATCCAGTAGTAAACCGGTGAAAATGCTCTTTGCACAATCTACCTAGCAAAGTAGCTTTCCTTTTACAGAATTTATTTATTATTTAATGTGAAGAATAAGAATATAGGTCAAGTTGCCCTCAAGCCACTTCAAGCCGCTGTTAGAGGGATCTAGTGTCACTCAGCTTCTTTGTTTCTGAGACCCTTCTCACTTTTTCTCCTCTTTACACATACTTTTAAATCCCAGTCCATTTCCTGATAACATTTATCAGATCCATAAGCAGAAAATTCCTTGTGAAGTGTCCATGCCTTGGATCAAAGAAGAATTGTGGTCCTCCATCATGATAAAGTTCTTCCTCCTATGGATAACTGACTAGGGGAACCAACCTGGTCTGGCTTCTCCCCCAAATAATTTAATGAGTTATAACCTGCTTCTGTCAATGGAGACTTTGGCAAGCTGGAGGTCTTCCTCCCTCACTATTTAATTTAGCAGTAGTCATACTTCAGAAAAGCAAGCAAGGAGTGTGTTGCATTCTAGCCTTGAGGTCACCCTTTTTCACCCAGCACCACACCAAAGTCCAGTAGTATCTAATTACAGCAGTTTCTTTAGAAAAACATATACAAAAGGGGAATAACCTCCCCCCAAATAGAAAAGGTGCTATAAAATAGCAGTCGTACATATATAAAAAGTTCAATAGTCCATAAAGACAAGGTACATGGAATCAAGGAAATCAAGATCATGGGCATAAATCCATAAGCATGAAAAGAGTAGCTATTCCAAGGCAAAACTCTTACAGGAACACAGGCAAACACCGGAGACAAGATTAATGAGCATGAGAGGTGATCCAGGAACTTGATTCTATAGCAAACTTATCTGTTCTGGAAACACTCTGAAAACATCACTTAATTTAAGCTCAGGCCCTACCAAGAAGCCACGAGGTTATCTCTTTGACACCAGGGTTTGAAAGACTTCTCATGGAGTTTCAAGGACTTCTCACAGAGTCTTTCTGGCTGTCTAATTAATCTACCCTTCACTCCCTCTGTGCAGAGGCCCAATCTGATATCACAGGCAAACTCCTCATCTGTTGAAGGCCAATTCCCACGAGAAACGGGATCCCAAATATCCTCTGTAACTGCTAGCTCTTCTCTCTGATTTAAGGCCTGCAATTCAGCCTGTGTTTCAGCCTGATTACATAATGACTCAATGAAAAAACCATCATCCTCTCATCCTCTGAGGATTCCCCAGCATCCTGTTGCTGAGCCCTAACACAGTGGTAGGAGAGAATGTGTGCTGATGTTTTATTTCATGCAAACAAGAAGGCATCCATAGCTATTTTAATCCTCCCAAAAGGTGCTCTTTAGTTTCTTCGTGATTTTTCCTGCTTGAGAGGAAATGACTTCACAGTATTTATATGAATGTTTGACCTTTGACTACTCTTCCAGCTTGCATGCTGCACCTAAAAAGCTTCTTCTTGGTTGGAGGGAAAGAAGGCAGCACTCACTTGCCAAAAGCCATCTTAACATCCAGAGATTTTTAGTGTAGCCCTGTCTTAGTGTCTTGAAAGGAGGGAATGGAACTGAACTTCTTTGTTGTTTTCTTTGTGATGGTTACAAAGTACACATCTTTCCAACCATCTGAATTTTAAATTTGCTCTTTAGAGAATCAAAAAATGCTAAGTATGTCTGAAGGTTCCCTTTTGACAAAATCAGCCAGAATCTGATTATAGATTTGAGGTACGAAGTCAGAGAGGTAGTAAAAAAAGGTGGTAATTGATATTTTGATGCACTTCAGTGATTCCTAAAATTTGGATGTAGTCCACTCTTACGTGTTTCATAGGACAACGGACCCTAATATGGATACCAAACTTGAAAATGCATCTCCTGATTTGGGGGTGGAATTGTGACTATCTATAAAAGTAACATCCAGCTTTATGGAACCAAATCTCTCTCCCCCCCCCCCCAAACAAATTCTTCTTTCTCAATTCCAACAAAGGATTCTACTATCATTGTCACCACCATGTTCTATCCAGTGCTCATTTCCACAGTTGACAATGAAATCAGTAATTGAGGTGTAGTGGACACACACACATACTTTAATCAGTGTTACTCTCTGAACAGAAGGTAGATATAGAATAAATGTAACATAAATATATTTTGGTGGTCACAATAATCCTGGGTCATTTGCTGTTTGTGTATGAGCCACAATAAGTATATTTTTAAATTCCTGTAGTTCCTTGTTTTTTTTTACCTTGTTAATGTTCTGCTATGGGTAGTGATAAGTTGTCTATTAACCCACTGAAGTTCTGTTTAAGGCCACTCTTTACTGTTCTTCTTGACCAAAATCTAGCATTGCACATGCAAGAGATACTTTCAGATGCAGTACAGCTCCGTTCAAAAGTCAGCTCAGTCGTTGGTACATTGTGTGTCTTTGTTCAGAGCTGTATGTTTCATTTTATATTTGGATGCTATGAGAGTTGAAGGAGACACAGGAAGTGCTAATCAGTAGCATTTCATCTTTGATTCCTTCATAAGGGTTGAAGCAGAGCTCACTCTTTCCCTTCAGAGTAAAATGTTACAATAAATAATTTTAGGCATTCCTGTATGATTGGGTTACAGTGTGGTATGCTGAGGGTGTGTATGCAGATTTTGGACATCACATGGACCTTGAGAATAACGGAGCACCGTCTGTCAAGTGAAGGGAATTGTATCTTATGATCCCAATTGCCTCATTTTAAGTTCTGTCTTCCCATCACATGTGTTTCCCTCTTCAGTTTCCCCCCAATTTTTTCCCTCATTGTTGCCCATCTTCGAACGATCACACAGGAAATCCTTTTCTTCCTCCTCTCCGTGTTACTTTTTTTATCAGGGAAAACTTCAATATCTAAAGCCAAGATTACTATGGACCTCATTCCTTTGGGGAGGGGGAGAAGCAGGGGGATTTTAAACCGCTTTGGCTTGACAAGTCTTTCCCATGCCTTCCTTCACTTCATTAGACCAGTGTAATTTTAAAAACCTTTGCAACCATCCCCTCTTGCAAAGTTGTGCTTCCCTTCATTAGACCAGTTTAATTATAAACCACTTTGCCACAATCCCCTCCTAGGCTTTCATTCCCTCCATTAGACCAGTGTTATGTTAAAAAGCTAGCAATAGCACAATTTTGAGCCTAGATTCTATTAAGAAGAAAAGGCAGACCTTTTGAGGCCTATCCCTGCCTTGTTTGTTCTTGTACAAAACACCACCATTCATGATTACTTGTAGTATGCATGTAGAAAGCAACAGAGACATGTCCTCCAGCTCCTTTCCATCCCTTCAATTCCCACCCTTCCTGTGTAAATGGGAAAAGACTGCAAAGAAACAAATGCAAGCTATTTTTGAACATGGTTACAGGGGCCCCTTTGGTTGAGAACTCTGCTTTATCAACCATACTGCTTTCATGAGATATATAAGCAGAGTATTTTGTAAGATGTATGGTCAGATTAATTGCTTGTCCTTTATGTATCACCTGTCACACATCTCTGAGGACGAAAATGCATTTTCAAAGAATTTTTGTTGCATGACTTCAAGTCGTTTGTTTGTCATGGTGGTGGCCCTATCATAAGGCTTTTTGGGAAGGATTGTTAAGAGAGAGGTTGCCTTTACCTCCTCCGAAGATGAGAGAGTGTGACTTGCCCAAGGTGGGTTTCCATGATCAAGTGGGGATTTGAAGTACCCTGGTTCTCCTCAGAGAATTACTGATCCCCCTAAAATAGATCAAACCTCTCTTTTTCTTCCCCCAGCATTGATTTTCCACTGATTTCTGGTGATGTCCTATTTGTTTTTCTCATGTTGCCACTTACAATAATAATACTGAGAAATCTCCGGTAAGAAAATGTCATCAGAGTTCTGTAACAACAGCAGTGACAGTCAACATGTTAAGCTTATGCCGCTATAGCCACACTTCTCCCCATCATCACCTGCGTAGTCAAATTCTTGTTTCTCATTCATCGGCCTTCTCCCTAAACGTGAAGTGGGAATGGGAACAACAGTGAAGAGGAGGCACTGCTGACTTCACCTGTAGCATACCCTCCAACATTTTACAGATGTTTAATGTAAACTTTTTTGTCCCTTTAATTCCATTTGTAGCAATTGAAGTGAGCCAAGGACTAAGGGAAAATGCGGGATCAGGACATTTTAAAAACACGAACAAGTTGATAGAGACTCCGTTGGGACTATCATCAAATTGCAATAGTTACAGCATATACTATACTCTAACCCTCTTGTCTCATGGAAGGGGAGGCACACTGGAGAAGGGGCTTATTACCCATCCTTCATAACCTATCGTTGTTTTATGGCACTCCCAGCACAGCCTGGGAAAACTAGAGCTTGCACTGCATCAAAGTTATATGACGAGCCAGTCTTCCCAGTTTGTTAAAGTTCTCCCAGCGCTTACATACGGTTTTGTTTCTATTTTTTTAAAAGAAGGAAATACATAAATGCAAATTTTACCATTAATCTTTTTGTGATCTTTGGTTTTCAGTTTTGGGGTACCAACACCTTCTCCAGCTGGTGATGCTACCACATTAAGAGGTCAGTTCTTCTGTATTTAATTATTCATTGCTTATTAAATTGATGGGGAGAGTGACATTTTCAATTTTCAATGAAAGGAATGATTAATGGAATATCAAGGTGCTTTTGGTATCTCCTGTACTCTTTAGACCACACAATTTTCTGTGCTGTGGGGTGTGCATCATTCACAATGAAGGAAGTCAATATGTGTGCTGCTGCAGCTTACAAAAATCCATAGGATGAATACTAGACATACATCAAGCACACTTGTTGAAATCAATAGCATTTGAGCTAGTCACTAGAAACTTAAATAAAATTTATTTCAGTCAGTCTAATCAAGGCACAGTATAGCTAGGTCTGGTTCTCACCAATTTAGTATTTTTAAAGCTTTATTGTGTGGTATGAACTAGAGTAGAGGAGATAATAATATTTTACCATAGAGCTAATATAGTCAGCCTTCCACATTCACTGAGTTAGAAGCACAAAACCACTGTGAAAGTGAAAAACTGTGAATAAAGAAATTGTGATTTTTTTTACCTGAGAGAACACCTCTCTAGAAATATCTAGGTCCTCCCAGTTAAAGTTGACCATAGAGTTGTGCTGGAAGATCTAGATGTTCCTAGAGCGATGTTCTCTCTAACACTCTAGGTCCTCCCACATAACTGGAGAAAGTTGACCACTGAAGCAACTAGAGATTTCTAGATAGAACATTTTAAACAAATCTGTAGATCATCAAATTCATAAACATTAAACCTGCAAATATGGAGGTACAATGATGTTTAACTAACTAAGGCATGTTATGTCTTTCCTTCCTAGATGCAGCTGCTAATGTTCCACCGCCAGATGTAGTGTCAGTTGAGAGCCCTTCAGACATTACCACTGAAAAGATTGAATACTCAGAAGTATGTGCAATGGGCTTTATGTTATACTTGTCCAGTAGAAGGGAAAGACACTTCTAGAATTGATACCACTTTTAAAGAAAAATGTTTATGGCTCAACAATATTTCAGGGAGGTGAAAGTAGTCCTCCACAGCCAGTGCCCTCCAATATAACACTTTCTCATTCTCAACTACTCCTGTGCTAAGCTCACAACAGAATAAGAGACAAAAATGTGAACTTTCTGTTTTCTTAACTTCCATTTACACACCATCTACACACTTCATCCAGCTCTCCAATATCACTTTGGGGAGGGGGATGCTACCTCTACCATTTCCCTTCACAGGCATTCAAACAGGCCAGAAGTAGTGCCATGACAAAGAGAGTGGTAGTGGTGGGGAGGGAGTTAGGTCAGTGCTTAGGATCTCCAGGAACAAATGAAATTCTTACCTTTTATCATTTGACTCAGAGAAGGGGCTGATTCCTTAATTGAAAAGAGTTAAGCTACAGTATTCACATTCACCTTGAATAAGTTGACCCAGGTTTTGGAGGTTGATTTTTTTTAACTGACGTTTCTAGACTTATACATGAGTAGATAGAGTAATCTGTTTCAAAAACTGTACTGTTGAGAGGAAGATTTCTAAATCTACTAACTATTTTTTTGCTAGATCAATAATGAGATAAAGAGAGATGATGAAAAACTGGTGAAACCATCACCTGAACAGATGGTCGAGTTCAGCATACTTCTTCCAGAGGAAAAATTCACCGAGGAGCTGAGTGACCCCTTTACAGAAGAGTACCAGCAACTCTCACTGCAGTTTGTTTCTGAAGTAATTGTGTTAACCTGCATACTTTTCTATATGCTTTATGTGTCCGGGAGATTGTTTGGGTGGCTTTAGTAATCTCAGTAGTGTATTTCGGGAGGGGGATACTAGTTAAATTCTTCAAGGATTTGAGCTTCAGAACTATACAGTGAGAGTAATGTCTGGTTTCCAGAGAGACCAGTACGCTCTTGGTAAAATTTATTATCATATAATGTGGGATCATCATTCTTGAATTCTGATCCAATAAGATGAAGTAGTTGAAGAAAAATTCTATTAACATTTTGGCTCACATATCTCTTTGAGCTGAATGTTATGACTTCATCACATGGGAAAAATTGCCCACTATGTAGATCTATTTCTGGTGGGGCTCTGTGCTTGAAGTTGAACTGTAATAAGAGAAGAAGAGGAGGAAACTGGGTGGCAATACTTCCCCCTGTGGGATGAGGTGAGGGGCAATGCTAGCAATGTGGATAGTGGGTTCCTCACGCCCCATGCTGAATTCACCATGATCCATGGCGAACCCCCCTGCTATCACCCGCAATTGGGACCTCAATGTGATGAGGTCCTTGATGGTGATATATAGGGGTAGTGGTAGTTGTGTTTTCCTCAAGACATTAGTTTGTACCTAATGATGCTTCTATATGGAGGAATTTAAAATTCCAGGGTTTTTTGTTTAGCTAACCGTTTAGCAGCTGTTAGTACAAAGGATAGACTGAGGCTATGTCTACATGGGCCAAATAGTGTGGGTCCTATTTTAAGTTGCTGCAAAGAATCCACCTGACATACAGCTATTTATTATTTTATTTATCATGTCAGGAGCAAACCAAACAGTTGTATTGTATTTTTTAAAAAAAGTTTGAAAACTTGGCATTCTATTAAATGTCCTTTGACCAGTAGCTGGCCACTAGGAGTGCCTCTGGTGTTGCTATAAGAAGGTCCTCCATTGTGAATGTGGTAGGGCTCAGGTTGCATTATAATAGGTGGTCTGTGGTTTGCTCTTCTTCACACTCATGTCGTGGATTCCACTTTGTAGCCCCATTTCTTAAGGTTGGCTCGTGGTACCAGAGCACAGTCTGTTTCGCACCTTCCAAGTCGCCCAGTTTTCTGTGTGCCCAGGAGGGAGTCTCTCATTTGGCATCAGCCATTGGTTGAGGTTCTGGGATTGACAACAGCTGGATTTTTTTTGTAAATGGCTACATCCAGTTGTTAATCCAATTCAATGATAGATGGGATTTACTCTGGAGCTTCCATAGTAATCAGGAATAATAAGTAACCTGGAGTAATCAGGTTGGATCTATCCGTATTTCATTGACCAACAAACCAATTTTTGTATTGCTGGCCACAAGCAGCTCTCTTGCAGAGGTTTGCTGGCAACATAGTTTCTGGTGAGGTAACAACCACGTGGCCAGGGAAAGTGATGTTACCAACAAGTTTCTGGGAAGGAGCGCCTTGTGGCTGGTTACATAGTGTCAGGGGTAGTGTCAATGTCCCCATGGCCTAGTTGGCTGTCTGGACACCAAAAAGGCTCTGGGCAACTCCAGAGCAGTATACCATGGAATATCTGGTCTAAAATGTAGCATAATTTTTCACATTCCAATACACTTTACTGCAAAAGTCCAGTCCAAGTTGATACATATTTATTTTGGTATATGTACCCCATTTCTATGAATTGCTGCAGCACAAAACCAGCTATATAGTTTGCAAATAATAATGCTACAGTTGTGAGAATGACTTCAGTGTTTGCATTACTTTATGTAGTTTATGAATGCCAATGGCAGAAAAAGCTATAATCTCAACAGGCCTTAAAGCAATTCATCCTTTTCAAAATATCTCAGTGAGCACATTATTCTACCAATCACCACCTAAGAAGTCAAGTACAACAAAATCATATATACTACCTTATTTTTGGAGTTAAAAAATTAAAACAGTGAAACAGCCACTGTCTGGTTTATCCACCTTTCTTATTATATATTTTAGGCTTTGGGTCACATACCTGTACACTGGCATACTGCCTTCCAATTAAAGGAGCCCATACGTACCCCTCTATACTTGCCCTTCTCTCACTTGTTCATTAACCTTTGTGTGAAGTTATGAAATCTGTGGATTTTATTTTTCGCTTAATCTGGGATCCCTGTTGAGGGAGGGTGACAATGAAATAAAATACATTCTTTGTGACCTGGAAATCCTCTTAACTTCCTCTGCCCTCTCACAGGATATAAATTCACCCATGCAGGTGTATTCATACTGCTGTAATATTATTGAAGTAACTCTAAACCTTCCTCTTTTCATCAAATTTTGCCCTTTCCCATGACCTTGCTTGTGTTTATATTACAGGCTGCTTGAAAGAGAAAAACAACAAGTTTTGATCTATCTGTCTTTTTCAAGGCACACATTAGCTCAGCCTGGGTGATCGAATTAGTAAAAGAAATGGACAGTCTCATTCACAAGTACCATATTCCAAAAATGTAACATTATCTTGGTCTTCTTAGCCAGTTGGCATGGCAAGATGTGTATGATCATTACCCAGGGGTACTCTTTCACTAACCTTGTCAACTTACTAAGACAATTATTTTATATAATTTTTGAAATAAGAGATATGGTATCATTTTCCCAACTCACCTTGATCTTGCCTTGGCAATCCCTGTTGAATTTATGTACTGGTCTAGTCTTTTGACAGTGTTTCTTATGGAAAATAGACACCCACTCCATCCCATAGCCAAAGAGAATCACTGCAACAGCTATCCATGGCCACATTAGTCCAGACATCTTAGTTTTCTTGGAAATGCAACCACAAAGCAGTGCCATACTATAAATGAAAGAAATGTCTGATCAGACAAAAGCCACTTTGGCAGCTGGTTGTTTCTTTCATCCTTTGCCTAGTTCTCTCTGTGCTTGGACAGAGACACCTTTCCAATTTGGCAGCGCTTGGACGGTTTTGATTCTATGCAGAGATTTTTTACTGCGAAGAAATAAATACTAAGGTAAAGAGGCAAATTGCTTTCCTGTGCATGAAGTCGCATTGTCCTTTGATTTAAGGCACAGTGTTACAATTCCTTCATTTTTCATTTCTAAACTGCAATGCCACCTTTGCAAGTCTGTTTATAGACTTCAATGGCTAGCATAATCTGTTTTATAATTAAACAGTGTTTAAATTAAACTTTATTAAAATAAAGCTTTTACTTGTCTGAATAGCTCTATCTATAGATGGGGAGGATTGCTTTTCATATATTGAAACCTGAAATAGCCTTTATAATGCATTCCAACGGACCTTAGTAGCTTGATGTCCCTTTTCATGAAGATCTCATTAGATTGTCTATGTAAATGGGAATCAGAGAACTTTCATTGCAAGGAGAAAGAAGAAACCTGATGTATCCTTCTGCTGTGATAGTTTTGTTTGTTGTGGATCATTTGTTATGGAGGATTAGGATATTTCAGTTCCATTGAATGCTATCGGTATTCCACTGCTGCTATGGTACATGAGAAGAACAACCTTGATATTCATTTTAATGTATTTTAATTGTCTTTTCTAGGCTTTATGTTTAAATGGTTAATTTATGTTAATAGTGTAATTAGGCTTATTCAATTATTGATATTTGCTCCTCATTTTGGTGTTAATTTCCCTTTGGTCACAAGTTTATTGTTATTATTTTTATATTATCCTGTTTATTTTTAAATTGTTTGTATTTGAGTTTGGGCATTGAATGTTTGCCTTTTTTATGTGCAAACCACCCCAGGTCCCCTTGGGAAGAGAGGGTGGTCTATAAATAAAATTATTATTATTAATAATTTATATTATTATCATCATCATCATCATTACAGATAAGTTGGTCTTGCTCGTGTCTGTCACTTTGAAAATTTAGGAATTCAGAAAATGGGGAGATTGAACATCTAAGCCAGTGAAAAAGATTTTGAAAACCTAGAATAAAAGGTTAAATCCAATGTTGTACGAATGTACTTCTACTCTGCCTAAATACCATAAGACACCAGATCCTGGCTGATCTTGGAAATCAAAGAGGATCAATCCTGGCTAGTACTTGGAAAACCACCTCTGAGTATTTCTTGCCTACAGTCAACAGCTGACTTGAATGCGCACGCGCATACGTATCTTGTAGCAAAATCGTCTTATTGTCTTCTACCTTGTGCAGCCTTCTGAACCATCAAACATCTTCTTTGATTATTTCTTAACATCCTAGAACTGATTAAATGGCATACAGGATGTTATAGCAAAGTGAAAGGAAAAGAAAAGGAATTGCCCCATTCCCAATTCTGCTATAATTTACTCTGTTTCATTTTGACCACAGTATCTATTTGGTGGAAAAATTGTGTTGCTTTTTGTCTCTCTATATTTGTTTCTGTCTTGATCTATCTCATACTGGAGATCTTAGTTTTACAACAATCCTTTGAGTTAGCATAGGCTAAGCAGTATTGACTTGTTCAACTCCACCTGATAAACTTCAAGATTGAACAAGGATTTGGAACTGTTCTTGGTTCCCTTAGCATCATATTTTTGCATGTGCAATATAATGATAGAAGAAGGAAATCAACTTTGCTTTACTTGGTGCCTTTTGGATGCATTGGAATACACCATAGCCACTTGAAAGTAACTTAAATGGAGAGTGTGTAAAACAAATGAGTAACAACTGAATATGGTGAAATAAACTATCAGCATCTTGGAAGGGAAAAGTTCCTTATTATCTTTGTCACTCTTTTTCAAATAGATTCAAAATGCATATGAAGGTCTCCCTGGATACAAGAATATTTATGTAAATGAATTCAGGTATGGCATTCTATAAGCAAAGAAAAATAAATCTCTTTATATGTTAATGCAATTGAGGCTGCTGATATAATCTAGATTTAATTTAATCTTGATTTACACCGGCTTGATAAACTATAGCTTGTTGAACTATTTTATGCCCGAGAAACCACATGATCTATTATAATAGCAATAATAGCTGACACTATTAATGAGAGATTTCCAAATGCTCATTCATAAACTTCCCTGCCCATGTCTTGTAAATTCGGGACCATGGCTTCCTTTATTGAGTCTGCCCACCTGTAACGTGGTTTTCCGCTTCTCCTTTTGCTTTCCGCTTCCCCCTGCATATTTCAGTTAGCTATGCCAATTAATGATATGTCTAAAGTATCATAGCCTCAGTTTAATAATGTCTTTCACTGGTATCCAGGCTTTATTTGCTCTAAGACCCATTTATTTGTCTTTCTGGCAGTCTATAGTATCTGTAGAACTGTCCTCCAGCACCACATTGTATATGAATCAATCCAATCTTTACCTGCCAGATGTTTAGTTATCTAATGATTAGAAATCAAGTGCTTCAAAGTAGTGCTTTGGTAGAAACCATGGAAATGTGTTGCTTTATTTCTAACTTTTGCTTTGCATTTGATAGTATATCTTAAGTCCAGAACTTTGTATATTACAACATGGACCAAGAAAAACTGTATATTTATGGCTTTTCGGATTTTAAAATGTATTGAATTGTACTAGAGGTAAAATTTTGTCCAGTATGAAAAATAATTCTCATAGAGTCTCACTTACCCAACATAACACATCAAATGAATGTATAAAGTGTCATTTAAGGTATATTTACTTTTGGAATAATTTGTACTGAGAAAAGTCTTATATGGCAAAAGTTTGTTAATTGATGGGATGTATCAACTAAAATAATAAAAATAATTTTTTTTAAAAAAAAGCTTATCCAACATAAATGAACTGGCAGAACATTGGATAAGCAAATAAAATGGCTAATAAGGAGGGATTAAGGAAAAGCCTATTGAACATCAAATTACATTATGATTTTACAAATTAAGCACCAAAACATCATATTTTACAACAAATTGACAGAAAAAGCAGTTCAATACATGGTAACGTTATATAGTAATTACTGTATTTACAAATTTAACAGCAAAACATCACAATGTATTGAAACAGCTGTGGCTCTGTGTGGGAGGCAGGCTGTGTTGGATAATACAGAGCACTGGATGAGCAAAAGTTGGATAAGTGAGACACTACTGCATTTAACTTTGTACTGTTGTCTTAAAAACATCCTAGTTTGTCTAATTCTAGCTTTTAGGGCAGTGGTTCGAAACCTGTGGGTCCCCAGGTGTTTTGGCCTACAACTCCCAGAAATCCCAGCCAGTTTACCAGCTATTAGGATTTCTGGGAGTTGAAGGCCAAAAACATCTGGGGACCCCAGGTTGAGAACCACTGTTTAATACTGTTTAATTTGGAAACATATTATTCTATTTTTCTTTCTTCCTCTTCCATCATTTAGGCCTTCTCAGGATGACAGGTAAAAAAAATTCTAAATAATTATTTTTGCATATGGTATTTTATTAATTTTCCACCTTACAAGCGGGGAAAATGGTGCAAGTGAATACACCATTGCTTTGAAGCTAATCTGCACAGCATTTTTTTTTAAAAAGCTGTTGGAATAAATAAACTCCAGACTTCTTTAGTTGAGCAGAATTCTACAGTGTTCCAAAGCAGCAGCTATGCAGTCAAAGCCATGCTGTGATATCAGAGCAGGCTATGAAATGTGATGCTAATTGTAACTTCAGAGCAGCTGTACCAGTGGCAGCCAGTAGCTGATACTTGAACAGCTGACTCATATGTAACATCCATTATGACCTCAAAAGACCTTTTGCAATGAAATGAAATAGCTGACAATAGGTATTGGAACCAGTGGAAGCTATTTTCCCAAAGCTAATTGCCTTAGTTGACTTTTGTAAGGATCGCAGCCAGAGTAAGGAGACAACCGTTGGCATTTACTTCATCCTGTGCTGTAGTCCCGATGGAAATCATGCCACTGGTTAAAAATATTCTTAAGTTTAAATATGCTATATGAGCAATATCTAATACAGTTCTCAGGCTTGGAAAATGTTGTTCCTAAGAATGTAGCAGTGACTGAAAATGGACTGATAGTCCGAGGGCTGGAGAAAAGCTGAGATCTGATAGACAAACAGACCAATAGATAATAGCTAGATGACAAAAATAATTATAAGATCATAAATATAATATAATTATATTTGTCATCTAGCTATTATCTATCAGTCTGTTTGTCTATCAGATATCAGCTTTTCTCCAGCCCTCAGACTATCAATCCATTCTCAATAACTGCTACAATCTTAGGAACAACATTTTCCAAGCCTGAGAACTGTATTAAATATTGCTCATATAGCATATTTAAACTTAATTATAAGATCATAAATATAATATATGGGCCCCCGGTGGCACAGAGGGTTAAACCACTGAGCTGTTAAACTTGTTGATCAAAAGGTCACAGGGTTGAATCCAGGCAGCGGCATGAACTTCCGCTGTCAACCCCAGCTTCTGCCAACCTAGCAGTTTGAAAACGTGCAAATATGAGTAGATCAATAGGTACTCCTCCATCAGGAAGGTAAAGGCACTCCATGCAGTCATGCTGGCGACATGACCTTGGAGGGGTCTACGGACAACACTGGCTCTTCGGCTTAGAAATGAAGATGAGCACCAATCCCCAGAGTTGGACACAACTTTGGGGAAAACATTTACCTTTACCTAAATATAATATAATAGTATATGATTGGTGAAAATTGAAAATTAACAGAAGTAGTGCATTATGTGCTTCTTTCTAATAGTTCCCTTTTTAAATGTTTAGTGGCATGGAAGTTCTGTACACAGTGGTTTTTGATGGGGAAGCTATCAGCAATGCCACCTGGGACCTCATCAATCTTCAGTCCAACAAAGTGGAGGACAATGCCTTTTTAGAGATTGAAGATAACCCAACCGTTGTTTACACAGTCAGTGACTTCAGGCATTATATTGCTGAAATCCTCCACAAGAACACTTTACTTGAGAATGCTTCATTGAACTTGGATCCTGATTCTCTCCAACTCATTAACGGTGTGTATTAAATAAAAATAAAATTCCGATGCATTTAGTGAAATATGTGTTATGATACTACCAACAACCTACAGGAATTTAGTGGAATGTGATATGTTCCAAGTCTACTGTTTAAATTCTATGTCAAAAATTATGTTTTGCTTGTCAACATCAGAACTTTACAAGTCTCATATACTTGAGTATAATGCACCATCAAATGTAATGCACACCTCAATTTTGAAGGCACATATTACAAAAGAAAAAAGAAAAAGGATTTCCCTGCAACAGCTTGCACCCAACAGCTCAGTCATGCCCCGTCAGGAGAGCATACAGCATGAATGAGACCATTTGGGAAGTCAAGCCCCTCCATCAGGCCAAGGCTGGCGAACTCACCAGACTTGCATGATTTCCAACTGGCCTCATTTACAAAGTTTTCAAAACCAAGAGCGAGGTTTTGAAGAGCTCGTGAATGATGCCAGTTGGGAACTGCATGCAGGGTCTATGGATAACCAGCAGGAATGACTGGGTCACCAACTGAGCATTCCTTCTATGGGTGCCATGGAGCCCCTAGGCTACTACCACCATTGGAAACAGCCTCTTCATGCCCCCCCCCAACCTCCCTGTCCAGGCTCTTCCACTCCTTTTCACGCAGGTGGGTTTATGTGTGCCATTCTAATGTGCCACTGATTCTAATATAGAATCATAGAATCAAAGAGTTGGAAGAGACCTCATGGGCCATCCAGTCCAACCCCCTGCCAAGAAGCAGGAATATTGCATTCAAATCACCCCTGACATCCAGCCTCTGTTTAAAAGCTTCCAAAGAAGGAGCCTCCACCACACTCCGGGGCAGAGAGTTCCACTGCTGAACGGCTCTCACAGTCAGGAAGTTCTTCCTCATGTTCAGATGGAATCTCCTCTCTTGTAGTTTGAAGCCATTGTTCCGTCCTAGTCTCCAGGGAAGCAGAAAACAAGCTCTCCCTCCTCCCTGTGGCTTCCTCTCACGTATTTATACATGGCTATCATATCTCCTCTCAGCCTTCTCTTCTTCAGGCTAAACATGCCCAGCTCTTTAAGCCGCTCCTCATAGGGCTTGTTCTCCAGACCCTTGATCATTTTAGTCGCCCTCCTCTGGACACATTCCAGCTTGTCAATATCTCTCTTGAATTGTGGTGCCCAGAATTGGACACAATATTCCAGGTGTGGTCTAACCAAAGCAGAATAGAGGGGTAGCATTACTTCCCTAGATCTAGACACTATGCTCCTATTGACAGGGGCGGCTCGTCCATTGGCTTTTTTTGCCCCCACATCACATTGTTGGCTCATGTTTAACTTGTTGTCCACGAGGACTCCAAGATCTTTTTCACACGTACTGCTCTCGAGCCAGGTGTCACCCATTCTGTATCTTTGCATTTCATTTTTCCTGCCAAAGTGGAGTATCTTGCATTTGTCCCTGTTGAACTTCATTTTGTTTGTTTTGGCTCATCTCTCTAATCTGTCAAGATCGTTTTGAATCCTGCTCCTGTCCTCTGGAGTATTGGCTATCCCTCCCAATTTGGTGTCGTCTGCAAACTTGATGATCCTGCCTTCTAACCCTTCATCTAAGTCATTAATAAAGATGTTGAACAGGACCGGGCCCAGGATGGAACCCTGCGGCACTCCACTTGTCACTTCTTTCCAAGATGAAGAGGAAGCATTAGTGAGCACTCTCTGTGTTCGTCCACTTAACCAATTACAGATCCACCTCACCGTAGTTTTGCCCAGCCCACATTGGACTAGTTTCCTTGCCAGAAGGTCATGGGGGACCTTGTCGAAGGCCTTACTGAAATCCAGGTACGCTACATCCACGGCATTCCCCGCATCTACCCAGCTTGTAGCTCTATCGAAGAAAGAGATCAGATTAGTCTGGCATGACTTGTTTTTGATAAATCCATGTTGACTATTAGCGATGACTGAATTTGTTTCTAAGTGTTTGCAGACCGCTTCCTTAACAATCTTTTCCAGAATCTTGCCCGGTATCGACGTGAGGCTGACCAGACGGTAGTTGTTTGGGTCATCCTTTTTTCCCTTCTTGAAGATTGGGACCACATTGGCCCTCCTCCAATCTGCTGGAACTTCTCCCGTTCTCCAAGAACTCTCAAAGATGGTTGCCAATGGTTCCGAAATGACTTCCGCTAGTTCCTTCAATACTCTGGGGTGTAGTTGATCTGGCCCTGGGGACTTGAACTCATTAAGAGCAGCCAGGTATTCCTGGACGACTTCTTTCCCAATTTGGGGTTGGATGTCCTCCAATCCCTCATCCACTCAATTATGGCCATGTAATTTAGCCCAAAAGGGGGAAGATTGCACTCAAGTAAATATGGTATGTTAATGTATTGTTAAGTGGTACTTGCCTTTAATTGTCTAACAAAGACAATTCTAAGTATTTATTTTTTGCCTATGGTAGATTATTGCCTAACTAAGACAATTAAATACAGATGACCTTCCACATTTGAAAGTTTGACTTTTTGCAGATTTCATTATTCACAGATTGGATTAAAGTTTTGTCTGTAGGGAACTCTTATTTATTTATTTATGACATTTATATGATGCCCTTCTCACCCCAAAGGGGACTCAGAGTGGCTTACAAGTAATATACAACACAATACATAAAATAAATGCAATATCTTTCTGGACCCCTCTCTTTACTCTGGTCCCAGAGCAGCAGTGGTTGTTGGGGGGGGGGGGCTCCTCACTGATGACACTGAAGACAAGATGGCACTGTCTTCTTGGCTCTTCTCTTTACTATGGTCCCAGAGCAGCAGTTGGTGTTGAGGTGAGGGGCTCTCTTATGTCCTTCAGTGTTATTCCGTAGTCAGTTCCCACCAGAAGTTGACCATAGCACCATGCTAGAGATTTTAGAGATTCATAGAAAAAATACCTAGGAATCTCTAGGTTCAGTAATGAGATTCTTTGGTGGAAGTTGAACATAAACAACCTCCCCTCCAAAAAAACCAGGAAAGGTATTTTGCACGTATATCCAAGGGAATATTAAGAACATTTATTCTGACATGAATTTAACTGGGATACAGAGACTATGTTCTCCTTTGCCAAAAGTCAAACAAAGCAATCTGACTCTTTGGTCCAATCATGGATATCTGATTGTTAACTCCCAATCCTCCATGGAGGCAGGCTCTAAGGAAAACACAAGAAAGCAGTTGTCACTTAAGTTCTTTGATTGTGCTTTTCCTGCATGGCAGGGGGTTGGACTAGATGGCTCATGTGATCTCTTCCAACTCTATTATTCTATGATTCATCAGTGTTTATTTTAATCAGAAATACAGACATTTTGCATAAGCTTATGGGTGCCTTTTGCAAGGGACACAAGCCATAGCTTGTGAGAGAAGTTTTTGTGTCAGCTATTGTGACTAAACCAATGCATTTTAAGGGAGGGGAATATATTAGCCAATTAAAAAGCTGTACATGCGCTCTTTGCCTAGAGATGCGTGGGCACTTTTGCATTACATGATTGACATTATCTATTTGTAAAAATATGTGTCCCTGTTAGATGGAGATGTCTCCTGACATCATCCTTTCTGTATTTTCAAACTCCATTTTAAGTCATTCTTCTCAGGATGGACTAACGGGTCTTTGTAGAAACAGTTGAGTTGTACACCTCTGCTCTACATTTGCTTTTCAAATGCTTCCTACCCATATTAATTAAAAGCACACGTGTTTCTTTACCAAGCTAATACAAAAGTCAATTTGGAACCCCAATAGTTTAAATGAATGTCTTCTTTCTTTTTGCACAGTAAGAGAAGTGGACTCATCTGTGACTGAAACCCCATCTCGAATTACTACGAAGCCTATTGATTACGTACGTTCATTTTCCTGCATTGTCATCTTACTCTAGTTGCTCTTTGCCTTCCAACCATTTACCAAATAATCTAAATAGTTTAGAGTATAATAAAGTTAAACCTAATCATTAAATGTTCTTTAGAAAATCAAAATGTTCTCAAAGTCTGCATTTAGCAAGTACTTCATATGATTTTGATAATTTGTGATGGTTTTATGTTAAATTGTTTTGCACGTTTCTGTGAGGCAGTATAATACAAGACTGAGTACAACGTCTTGCTGGCAGAAAATGGTGGAAAATATTTTGTTTTTGCAGAGCAGAGTGGTTTTTCTATCCTGTTAATCGGGTCCTCTCCCCACTCCTTCAAATGGCATGTGCAAAAACTTGCCAGAATAATAATACATCTTTTAAGGTGATGCGCTGTTTTGAGAATCACTTGAATAATATTAGATGTCATAGGAACATGCCTCTGCATTGAAATAAATGATGAAGTGTAATTCTTGGCAGCCATATTCAAATGTTCAAAACATTTCTATTGAAAACTAATTGCTCCCAGTCTTTCTGGCTATTTTGGTACTTCATTCTGAATATTTTCTCTAGGGTTGCACAGTATTATATTTTCAGTTATGCTCACATTTTTGAGATTCCTTTAAGTGTGATAAACAGTGGATATGAGGGAAGAGTAGAAGAGGAGCATTAAAATAAATCTGTCTGCTTCACACCATGTTTTATGAAAATATATGCACTGAGCTGCTTTTTAAATTAAAGCGTTCAGTGGAGAGAGGAGGTGAGCAGAGAAGTGGGGATGGATGCTTAATCCTTTCTCCATTTGCCATTTTCGTGTCCATATTTTCCATTTTTGAGTTTTCCATCCTTTGGGGTCCTAAGGGCATGATTATGGGGGTAGATGTTAATTTCTCTATTTTTTTTCTCCATATTTGCAAAGTGATCTGGGGTCCATTTGCATTCCACTAACTGCCATGGAAATTCCTATGGAATCCTGAGATTTTAACATGTATTCAAACTGTGCCAATTTGTCAAAGGCCATCCCTCTAATCCTCTGTCATCCCACTTTTCAACTGTTTTCTTCTCCCACTTTCCCTCTTTGTCTCTGGCTTACTTCAGTTGGTACAAACTGAGTTCAAAGTACAAATATAGTTTGTTTTCTATTAATTCAACACAGCGTGAAGAGAAGAGGGGCATAATTTTGCCCCTTTCAGAAGCATCAGGCAAAAATAAACTGTTCTGGCCTCTCCTGGCATCTTTGTTCTTCCTCATTAATAGTTTGTATCATTTTGACCACATACTAGCCACAAGTGTCTCATTTTTCAAATGTGAACTGCTGGAAAATATGGTTTGTTGCAGCTTTTGATAATTTTTAACCCCTCCCCAACTGCCATGACATTTAAAGTGGGATGTAGTAGGGTTATAAAAAGGAGTTATAGCATTTAGAGCTGAGACAACTATAGCTCTAGTTTTTGGCTTTTCATTCTGAAAAGAGCTTATGTCTTTGTATATTATTATTATTATTATTATTATTATTATTATTATTATTATTTAGCAATTTTGTATACCGGTCTTCTCCCCTCTATCGGGGGACTTGGGCCAGTTTCCAACAATAAAATCACAAAACAATCATTAAAAAAATCATATATCTAGAATTGCTTCCATGGTTCTGTGAAACTGTGGATTAAATGTTGATTGACCAACTTGTCAGTTTCTCCCTTGTAAATTCTTTTATTGGCACCAAATTGTAAAAGAGTATATAGAAAAACAATATAAATATCCAGAATTACCTGGTGGAAGCAGTTATCTTTATCAGAATGCTAGCTGGCAGTTTTTCAGCTTCAGATTTTATCCTTGTCCTTTTCAACAATGTAGAAAATGGAGCAAAGTGGAGATAGCAGCCATGGTAATAATGACATTAATTATCTGTGTTCCCTTCTGGTTTTTTTTTAATGATTAAGAGTATGGAGGTCAGACATCTGTAGGAGATGTAGACTGCCAATCAGCAGTACCACCACCACCTTCCATCATCACAGCTCTCCACTGTGCTAGTGGTGGTCAACTGTGGTGTTGGTGAACACTTCTAAAGCCAGTTCCTTCAGTGCAGGACTTTATATATAGGTTGACAAGAAGTGAAATGTGGAAGGGAGTTATACACCTCATGATTTGTACAGTCATATCACATATTACTATCATTATTTCATCTATAACTGCAATGCTGCTGTATTTTAGGATCATGCTGTGGTATCTGAATGGCCCTCTGCAGATGAGTCAACTGTAAGCAACATCTTGCCACTTGATTTCACCAGACCAGGTTTTGTCTATGATACGGAACAATTCAATGGCAATGAAATCTGGTTAAGACCAGATGGTTCTGTGAGCCCTGAAAGTAATCTGAGTTCGACACCAAAGCCTACTTTACATTCAAAAGATGGCACCACAATTTCCCCAGATGATTTACTTTTTGAGGATGAAGAACAGACATTGCATCCTATCACACCATCAATATTAGAGACTGACTCCCCTGTCACCATGGACAGCCTTTCTAATTTGTCTTTGTCAGAACATGGTAAGTCATTTTGTTGTGTTTCTTTAGAGCAGAGTTACATGTCTCAGAAAGACTTTTTTCTAGGGACCTCATAGATGGGACTTAAAAAATGTTAGATTGCTTCGAAACTTCATACAGTATTTTAAAGGCATATAGCAGGGCCTTTTCAGCAGTGGTCCAAACACTAAGAAATTACCAAATGAACATATTAAAATACATCAGAGGTAATTGATATTTTGTAAACAATGCACTGAGATTCTATTGAGAGGCTTCATATTTCTTAGTAGACCTTGATAATATTGTAGATATTGACAATATAGATATTTTAGTATGCGGATTGCTTTAGAGGAGGAAACTGCTTTGGTTGTTCCGGTGGATGACTTCCATGGGCAGATGGATGGGGGAATGTGATCTGTTGTTTCCAGAAACCTCTCAAAAGCATTTAATACTTTGGTATCCTTCATGGGAATGGACACTGCATCAGTTTGGTTCCAAATGGTCCTGGGAGGGAGGACCCAGAAGGTAGTTGTGACAAGCTAATGTTCTTCCTCTTGGCTGGTGCCCCTTGAGGTTCACTGAGTTCCACCTTATTCTCCTTGCTATTCAACAACTATATCAGGGAACGTTGGCTCTTACCGTGATACGTTCATTTTCAGCAGTGAATGGAGGACATCCTCTGGCCATACCCCAGATCCAGTCTGCAGGGGTCCTCTACCTGGCCTACAAGCTTCTTCTGCTGTTGTCTCTGATCAGTGGTTAGAGATAAGAGGGTATTTGAAGGTATTCAAACATTAATGAGCCTACATAGAAGCAAGCAGTGATTTGCAGGCAGGAAAGCTGTTGCATTAGGGGTCATTTCTGAGTGAACATGAATAGAAAAGCTGTGCTTTGAATGCTTCTTGGGTAAATGTCCAATTTGGTAAGAAACATATGTCATCCCTCCTGCTTTATATTGCTTCCCTACTCTGTACTTGACCCTGCCCTGTTCCTCCTGAATGAAATTCAGCCTCCAGACAGAAAAAGTTCCTTAAGTCTTGATCAGTGTGAAACCACTGGATTAAGCCTTTCATAGATTTGGGTTGCGCATCTAATGTGAAGATGGTACCCAGTTTTGTTTGTAATTCACATCTGATCCTAGGGAGCCTATCAATCTTGAGCTATTGTTCATCTAATTTGAGAAAAGGGATGGAGTTGAACAAACTGCAATTTAATCCAAGAAGAATGAGAGTACCTTTGCTAGGTGAAATACCTTACTTCGGTTTGGGTTTGCAGCCTGTTTCAGATGAGACTGTAATCCTTCTCCACACATCAGGCCTGATGTTGGGGGTGTTCTTTGGACTGGCATTCCTGTTAGCTGCACAGCTGACAACATTGACAAAGGATCCCTTTCTCTGGCTTTAGCTAAATCATCAACAGGCATTCCTGATAGTGTATGGGACTATCCTTAAAATGAATTTGGATACTGCAGCGGATGCAAAATTCTGTGGCCAAGGTGATGAGTGGAGCAAGGTGTTCAGACCAAACTGGTGGTAAAATCAAGATTCAAGGAGTTCAAGAATTTTTCAAAATTCAAAAACCTGTTGACTTTTAAAGCTCAAGAAAGTTTGGGACTGGGATAATTTATGGATCACTTTCCTCCATATTTCCACCCGCATGTCTTTAAAATCTGAGGGTTACTCTGAATCTTACAGTGCTGCAAATCATGTTGAGCAGTCACCTGGGTAAGGCCTTTTCTATGCTGACACCCAACTTGTGGAATGCCTTACCGAGCAAGAATTGCATATCCTGAAACTTTGTTGTTTGGGGAAATAGGTTAAGACATATCTAGATGAAAAGTCTGTTGGTTGTGTGTTGTCTTGCTTTACATGGTTAATGTTGCTCTTTTTATGACTATTATTTTTAGGAAATGTTCTTATGTTGCTCTTCTTGGCTTATTATATTTGCATTGTCTTCTGTTATTGTTTGCTATCCTATTTTTATATCTTGTATGATGTTTTGCTTTGCAAGCTACCTTGAATGCAAAATTCTGGGGGGTCTGAGGGCATAACGTCTCATGATATACATTTTAACTTTGCACTTATTTTTTTTTTAGGGCTTGAGGATGTTGATGAATCAGAAGGTTTGTTTTTGCCTTCAAGTCCTGCCAGTCACATTGTGCCAAAGGAAATCTCACCCACAAGTGAGTCTGTGGTTCCTTTCACTCCTGTGCCACCAATGGCCTCTGTATCAGCCATAGAGGCTAGCACTGCTAAAGTGTTACCTACAAGTTTTGTAGAAGAGGAAACTCTACAACCTTATATATATGTAGAGGAAGAAAATATCGACGATTATGGTTCTGGTTCAGGATTTGAACCACAAACAAACATATGGCCTTGGTATACACCTACATTGGAGACAGATGGGTCGGGTATGTATGACTATAAAGATTCAAATTTTATATTGGATTCTTCAAAAGACTATGTATCTGAGGACCTATTAGATGAAGTCATCTCTCAGTCACCTTTTGAAATAGAAGACATCTCAGTGGAAAATGTTTTTACTACATCTACCGAGATGTATAGCATAGTGCAGTTGGAAGATTCTACTGAGGATTTACAAATCCAAGAGCAAATAATAACAGAGCTGTCACCAACAGATTCTCCTCCTGTAGCCATTACAATAAAACAGCCAGACAGTAGCTCTTCAAGAATGGGACTCGAGAAACCAGAAATAATTTTAACAGCAAAACCTACTGTGGAAAGTCCAGTTACTGACAATTTCATGACAGAACATCAGATGCCTGATTCAACAGCTCAAGAAGCTTCTGGCTCAATTGATTTGAAACATGTTGTTACTCCTTCTGTTGTTACTGAGGGTGCCACAATTGGGCCTGCAGATGAATTTGCAACTTCAGTAATGTCAACTAGTTTTGAAATTTCAACTGTGGCTCCTTACTTAATAGAAGTAGTAACTGGTCCCAAAGACTTCACTGAAGAGTACAGTGCAACCCACATCAGTATTGCTAGCAGCATTGACAGTGATGTACATTCACCCACAACTATAACAGAGTATCCTGTCCATGTACTCTCTGATGTGCCTACCACACAGTCAACTGTATTTCAGCCTACAGTTATCTCACCTAAAATGGATGAAGAGTTATTCACAGAAGTATTGGATGTTACAGATCAAGGCCGCATAGATACGACATATTACTCTCCAGAAATGAATCAAGAAGGAAGAAGTATGACAGACAGTCAATTGGAGTTGTCTACAAGTGCCCATTCTACAGAAATGGCCAGTGTAGCTGGGGCTACCCATGAAAATCTCAGCAATGTTACTGTCCCTGCACGTGCTTTAGTGGTATTCTTTAGCCTTCGAGTTACCAACATGATGTTTTCTGAGGACTTATTTAACAAAAATTCCCCTGAATATAAAGCCCTGGAACAGAGATTCTTAGAACTGGTAAGAGATGTTTTACAATCCAGTTTTGTTTTGTTTGTTCATGAGTTTGCCATTGGCTGTTGCAAATATAGACATGATTGAAAGTCATTCACTTCTGAGATGCATATACTGCAGTAGCTAACTTAACTCTGGGCTTGTGTTGATATTTAAATACTTTGATTCAGAGATTCAGATTTCTCAAGAAAAAAGGAAACATTTCAAGATATAACATACATAAGATTTGCATCTCTTTATGGCCAGATGAATTGTTTTGTCTGATGGATCACCTAAATGACTAAATGAAGCATAAGTTAAATGATTATGAAGATAATACTGTAGTTTTATGGTCAACTAGGCAAATTGGGGGTAACATGTTACTTTAACAATCTGGATTCAGATTAGTGATATCCGCTTCCAATGTGCAGTCAACATGCATTGCCAACAATGTGCTACTATTGTATTACTAATTGATTTTTAAATGATAACTGTAAGTCTTAAAAGTGCATATGCACTTAGATCATATAAAACACAAAAAAGCATATAAAGGAGCAAAGTTGAACTGTAATGAAGAAGCAGGCACTATTGTGTTAAATAGAGTTTACTCCCAGGTAAAGGTGTAGCAAATTACAACCTTAAGACTGAGTGTGTAGAAAAGGATGCATACTTCATTTATTTATTAATTCATTTGTTCCTATATTGTAGCTTGTTCCTTATCTACAGTCCAATCTAACGGGTTTTCAGAATCTAGAAATTCTGAACTTCAGAAATGGTAGTATTGTAGTCAACAGCCGAATGAAGTTTGCAAGACCCGTTCCTCGCAATGTGACAAATGCTGTGTACCTGATTCTGGAAGATTTTTGCAACACTGCCTACCAGACTATGAACCTGGCTATTGACAAGTACTCTCTCGATGTAGAATCAGGTATGATGCATCCTGCTTACTACAAGATGCTGAGGATGTGTTCCGAATGAAATGGCAAACTCTTGTCTGGGCTATACCATTTCAGACTAGTCTTAAGTAACCAAATGCTCTTAAAACAAGGAAACAAAAAAAACCCCACCTCCATATAGAAAATGTGATATTAAAGAGGCAACTTCCACATTAGTCTCATTTCTATCATATTATCTATATCAGTGGTTCTCAACCTTTTTTGATGAGGGACCACTTTGACTAGAGACCACTCTTCAACATTAGTACCAAAAGGGTTACAAATCAGATTTTGGTCAACTTTAGATTTGGTTTGGTTATTTGGGGTGCTGATTCAGAAAATTGCATTGCACAGACCACATCATCATTAGTTTCTAGTACAAAACATATTCCATCCATTAGTTGCCATCTGCTTGCCCACAGAAAACCATATTTAGTAAGCCTCGGCCCAATATGAGGGTTTTGTGAGAACAGTTGCTCTCATTGCAATGATGTGGTAATGGTGAGGCTGCGGACCATATTTTAGTTCTTGCAGACCACTGGTGTTTGGAAACAACTGATCTGTATGCAGGTCTTTAACATTCAGTCCTTTAAGGTCTCAGCTTCAGACTGAAGGGGCAAAGCCACTGAGTTATTACCTCAGTGGGAATTAGGTACAAGTGGGATATGAAGAGTGATAATGATAGTGCTTCTTGAATGTTCAAAGACATATTACCATCTCAGTAATCCCTGTAAGAAATCTGTGAAATCATCAATGAAGTTAGATTTGGCTCTGAGGCTTTGTGGTACACAATTTATTTGTTCATTTATTTATTTGTTTTATTTGGAGTATCTATATCAGTCACAAAGACCCTTTGGGGAGATAGGGTGGAATATAATAATAATAATAATAATAATAATAATAATAATAATTATTATTATTATTATTATTATTACCATTATTATTAAGGCTCTCAGGGCAATTTACAAATTCCAAATTTGACAGTTCCCTGTCTTTAAGTTTACATTCCAAAGAAGACATGGCACACACATAAAAGGAAACATAAGTGGGGAAGAGTATTAGGTCTATCAGATACTGGCTCTTCTTCTCTCCCTCTGAGGCCAAGATAGTGGGCCTTACATCTGCTTCTGGATTGTGGCATGATGGAGTTATGTCAGCCTCTTTTCTCTCTCTGAGGCCAGGACAGTGGCTACTGGGATATAGCAAGGGCTTCAATTTACCAGTCTCTTAAATTTGTTCCATCAGAGCATTATTGCTCTTTGTGAATGGACAGTGCTTTCCAAATTTCAAAACATGCTGCTCAATAGGTACAAACGAAAATTTCCTATATAAGTGCTATTCAGCATAGATTCAGGTTGTATACATTGACTTGAGTAGCAATAGTATCACCCTGTTAAATCAGGTTTTATAATAGCAACCATGTTTTATAGATTGGTTTTAATAATGTAGTTATTTCATTTTTCTTGAAATCCTTTGTTATATTTATGATAATTAAAATGTGTTGAAAGTTTTCCAAAATGTCTAATAAAAGTACTTGCCTATCTTTTGGCATTCTCAGGAGAACAAGCGGATCCTTGCAAATTCCAAGCATGCAATGAGTTCTCTGAATGCCTGGTGAACCAGTGGAGTGGAGAAGCTGAATGTGTTTGTTATCCTGGATACCTAAGCATTGAAGGATTGCCATGTAATAGCATTTGTGATCTGCAACCAGACTTTTGTCAAAATGATGGCAAATGTGACATAATCCCAGGGCAAGGGGCAATATGTAGGTGAGTAAAGATTTGTTCAACTAATTTACAAAATCCGAAAAACCACATGGTTTGGTTCATCAATATTACTCCAGTTTTGACATGTATGTTGAGATTAAAACATATATTATATTTAATTAGTTTGCCTTGCAAAAACATGTGGTTTGCCTTCTAATGACATTATCAATTTTAAATAAATTGGTTGCTACAAAATAAAATTTGATGATATCCACCAGTAGGAAGTATATTGTAACTCAAACCTGCCTGATAACGTCCCTTTCCTCTTTTCATACAATTCAGATAAAGCCAGTTGAACAATTCCTGGTACTTTGCTTAGTTAATCCGTACTGGTGGATGCTAGCAGTTCCTATGTCCCTTATCATAAGAGGTTCACAATAGAATAACATTGGTTTTTTTATTAATTCCCCAATGGTGTTCATGGACAATAGATGCCGTGTAGGTGAAAATTGGTGGTACAGAGGAGAGCACTGTGAAGAGTATGTCTCAGAGCCACTTGTTGTGGGCATTGCAATTGCTTCAGTGGCTGGCTTCCTTCTTGTAGCATCTGCAGTCATTTTCTTCCTAGCCAGAACCCTTCGAGACCAGTACTCAAAGAGTGAAATTGAAGACTCCTTGGCGTAAGTATCAATCAGAAATAATTTACTGTTTATACTCATGTATAAATCTAGTGGGCCTTCTTAACTGATAGGACAATTGGTCTTCCACATTTGTAGTTTTTACTTTTATAGATTTGAAATTCACATATTTGTATAATGTATTTGTTCTAGGAATTGCTGGATCCTTCCGTGTGACTTTATTATCAATTTCTGCTGGAAGTTCACTTTAGAGTCACACTGGAGGATCTTGAGATTCCTAAAGAAGTGTTGTCTCAGGGTAAAAAAGTGATATATATGTGTGTGTGTGTGTGTGTGTGCTTTTTCCATTTTTGTGAGGTCCTGCACCTCTAATCCCAGCTAATGTGAAGAGCCTGCAGTATTTTCAAGTGGCCCTCAATATTTGAATATGTTCCTAGAGAGATTATAATGTCAATTCAATTTTGGAAAATATTTTATTAAGGAAGATATACAATATTTGACATGTGTTCTTTGTTAGTCAAGGGGACAGCCTCTCATCAATTGAAAATGCAGTAAAATACAACCCAATGTATGAAAGTGATGCCACTGGACATAGCCATTACTATCGGAGATATCCCCAGCTTACTTCATACAGCTCAACAAGCAATGAAACATCTACTGAGTACAGCAGTGATGAGATTAGACACATTTATGAACACAGTGAGCTAACGAAAGAGGTGCGTACATCTATCTACTTGATTTGATTTCCCTTCAGTCCTATCCTTAGTTTTAGTTCTAATAAAGCACACTTAAAAGTGCTGAAAAGAATAAATTTAGAATTGGGATATTCTGTATTATAATAAGTATAGTGAATTATAATAAGTATAAAGGTAAAGGTTTTCCCTTGACATTAAGTCTAGTTTAGTCTGACTCTGGGGGTGGTACTCATCTCCATTTCCCATAGACTCCTCCAAGGTCATGTGGCCGGCATGGCAGCTGTTACCCTCTTGTCAGAGTGGTACCTATGGATCTACTCAGATTTGCATGTTTTCAACTGCTAGGTTGGCAGAAATAAGTATAGTACAAGTTTAATCTGTGCGGGGGTGGGGGGTAGCATTTCATTTAGATTTAAAAATTATTGTACAATCATTTTTTCTGTTGTTCTGTAGGAGATTCAGGACAGGATACGAATTATAGAACTTTACGCAAAAGATCGGCAGTTTGCAGAGTTTGTAAGACAGCATCAGATGTGAGTTCAATGTTTTCTGAATTATTCTGCGCAACTGTAAACATATCTCTTCACTGTCTTTCAAGCAAATCCCTTTCAAAGAGCACATCTGGGGTTCATTTGATTTTATTAAAATTAGTGTGAATAGCATTCTGTATTAAATTTCTGTAAATCCCTAGTGATCAGCTAAATGATCATATTGTAGTGGGTACGTACACTACAGTATAAAAGTAAGTACAAGGCTGATTCTACAACACAATGGGGATACAATACTATGAAAAAGTGGTAGCTATTAGTACAATTTAAGCATCATATGTTTTCTTCATTATTACAATAGAATTTATTTACTTTTTTTCATTATTTTAATTTCTAGTAGTCCTGCACTGTGCATATTGTGACTCTAATTTCAGCATGGAACATACAGGACATATTATTAAAAATATAGTTATGCTTTGACAATGACACATCAGTACTCCCTCCCATCTTAATTACCAACATAGTATGTGCAATTTCCTCTACATTATGTGTCATGAATTTTATCTAGAGTTTCTTAACATTATTTAAAAAGAATAAAAATAAAAGTGAGCCTGGATATTTGTTTGATACTGACATAAAACCTCCCTGTTTGGGAAGCCATTCAACAAAAGACATGAGATAATTTTGATACCTACTATGAATCTTTAGTAGTAGCTGATTATGGACAATTATCATGCAGTTACAAGTTCAATCTATTCTTACCTTACCTGAACATAAAGGCAGATCGATACATATTCATAAGGTAGTAGAAATGTTGTTATTATACAGTATTTATTTCTAAGAACCGCAAAGTTAAAGAAAACCAAATAATTCTTAGAAAACCACTGAGACATTTCAGTTTCTCTGTTTAATACTAGCTAATATTCCATACTTTTTCTTTTAAAATAGGAGTTTGAAAGCTGTCAGAAACCCAAATCCTACAAGTTAGTCCTTCTTGAACTCTACAAATCCAACAAGGTAATATATGAAGAATACAAAGCCATTTGTAAAATACCATGTCTGTTATTGTGGTTGCTAGACAATCTTGTTAACATTAAAGTAGCGGGGGGGGGGGTATTGTATGACTCATCAGATAAGGCTGGATTGCAACTTCTGATAACTGGTGGGGGGGGGGGGAGTGTAAGATTCCTACTCCTTTGTAAAAGTCTCATTGCAGTCTTAGTCCTGGGTACTTGAAACAAACTATTAGGTGGTTCTTGTGTTCAAGAACAGGATGGGAAACCTGAAAGAGTAGGTGTATGAGAACCAATACATTCAGACCATGTCCCATCAAAAGGAAAGCCCTTTAGGTAGTTGGCTCTTGTATTTAAGAACTGGATGTACATCCTGTGCCAGATGGGATTGCGCTAAGTCTGAAAGAGCAGCGGCACAGCAATGCACCTCTTGATCCAACATTGTTACTTGAGGTTCAGATTCCTAGCTAGAAGCAAATAAGCCAAAGCCAGCTTTGGCTTATTTATCCATCATCCCTTTTCCTGGAGAGGAATACATGGTCCCGTTACATTTCTGGAGGGATTTATATATGGGGTTGTACTTCAAGATGATATAAATGTTTAACCAAGTGCAGAATATGGCAGACACAACTATGATCAATATAGCCAGGTGGGATTATATTACCCCCAGTTCTGAAAGAGCTGCACTGGCTGACTATTTATTTCTGAACCCAGTTGAAGGTGTTGTTGAAGGCTTTCATGGCCAGAATCACTGGCATTCTCAGAGGTTGTGAGGATGGCTATCACAGATGTGGGCGAAACATCAGGAGATAATGTTTCTGGAAGATGGCCATACAGCCTGGAAAACTTACAGCAACCCAGTTTCAAGGTGTTTGATGCTCAATCCCTAAACATATAAAGATTAAATATCTGCATGCACACTTTTCCTTATATCAGCTTGTGAATGATTATCACAAAAAGCCTTTTCTCAATTATCTTAGGTACACTATGTTACAACAAAGTGTAACACCCTTCTCAGTTGTGGAACTCCAAGTAAGGAGGCCCAAACCTTCAGACAAATGCATCTGGCACCAATACTGCAATTGTTCTCAAAACCTTTTTGTTTTGGCAAGGAATTTTAATTGGCTGCTTTTTTGTTCTTAGTACTGTTCTTTGTTCTGATGAAATGTTTTGTAATATTTATGGTTTTAATTTGCTACCATAGTATTCAGAAGGGTGAAGGGCAGTCTTAAAAATAGAAAAGTACACAAGCATCATTCTTGTATTTAAATAAGTTAGTTTTCAATCATATATGTCAAATGGATCTGCATAGCTCTTCTTTTTCTGTATTTCAGTACAATGGGTGGCAAATTCTTAGGCAATTATGATGTTATAGATGAGATTTACAATCTTGGTATTCACATTTATGATCATTGGACCATTGATCTGATCACAAATGCCCCCCTCCTCCAAATCCATATTAAAATCGAGACATCCATAGTAAGGTGCAGAATTGAAGGATGGCCTATCTAGCCCCCTCTCACTTCAGCTCTCAGAAATCCTGGCCAGTTTACCAGCTGTTAGGAATTGTGGAAGCTGAAATCCAAAACATCTGGAGGCTCACAGTTTGAGAAAACCTGTCCTAGATGGTTAGAGTACGAGATATATTGCATAGTTAATTCAGTCCAGGTTACCCACAGGGTATCCAGAAAGGTAAAAGGAGAAGCAACAGATTGGTCAATCCAGAAGCTGTTCAGCAAGTCAGTCATCCAGATAAACAAAGCCAATAAGAAGTAAAGCAACTGTAAATCTTAGCCAATCTAAGGTCAGGAAGAACATGAACTCTGAAGAGTTTTGTTAGTTGCCAAGATGTGGGTTGAAAGCAACAAATCTGCCAGAGTGGCTGAGAGATTTAGAGTTGCTTCAAGATATCAAGAGCCTAATTAGGTCAGTGTATTTTACTTAATGACGGCTGGGAGAGACAAAATTTCTCCTTATTTATTCATCGCTTCATAAATAATGGCAATGGAACTTCAGCACTTTCAGCCTCCTGCTGGGGAGCAGGGATACCCTCTGCCTCAACCTTAGCGCAGCAAGACAATAATGATCAGGAGCTGTAGATTCCTGGCAGCCTGTCCCCTCCTCTCTGTCTAAATTATCTGATTCCAGAGGGTGGGTTATGATGCAGTGAGCCGCAGTGTGACAAGGAGTTGGGAGGAATGTTTGTTTCTTCTCATTGCACCACTGCTTACTGGGAGGAGTGGTCTGGATGCACCATCTGTTAACACCCTGCTCACCAGCACTGAAGAACTCTCTATCTCTTGGTGTGGCTGCTTGAATTTTAAGTGAGTTTTGAAGACCAAATTTAGAGACAATACATAACCATAATACTGTAGCTACATTTCTGATGCAAGATATTGGCTAATGAGGCACATGACTTCATTTTACTAGTAATCAGTCCCTGAAGTTATTTTTTAACATTAGGGCTCCATAGCCTTGAAGCTCTCTTGTAGTACTTTGAAGTTTTAACATTTATTATGCACAAGGCATGCTTATGTAAGCATATAATGATTGGAATGTTAATGTCCATGAATGGACATGTCAGTAATAAATTTGTTAGTCTACAATGCTATACAAAACTCCCCGGCTATCATAGCATTTAGCCTGAGTTAGAAATAATATTAAAGATGGGATTGTTTACACGCTAAAGATGGGACCTCTTTCTTCAAAAACTTAATAGTATAGTTGGGCCCGAATGACTGTTAGCTAAAAGATTTGTAGTTTTTAGATGGCCATCTTCGTGGAATTTTTGAAAACAGAAAGTGGAAGAGAATCATCTATTTATTGTCTGAGTTTCACCTGTTGACAATGAATTAATCCCTGGTGTCTTTATTTATCTTTAGGAAGGTGCTTTAAAAACTGGATCCAGTAGAAAGATTGCAGGAGATCATGATGGACAGTATTACTACAAGGAGGATATGCTGATCTTGCTGCAAAGTTACATAGAGTATTTTCAGTGAAGTTTGTGGATCTTAATTGCTCGTGAATGGATTCTCCTTTCCTCTGAATGGATAACTATGGAAAGCTATGTAACATTGGACTTTATGAATGCAATTGAACATTGTGAAAGATCAAATAGAGCTTCAAAGATCATTAAAGTCAGTTTCACATACCTGTCACAAAGAACAGATTTTTAAAATATTTAAATGAAAAACAGAATGTTCCACAGTTATTTTGTTCTTATCCTGTGGATGGGGTTTTCATTCTTCTTTTTTATATATAAATACATTTTTTAAATATGGACTGATATCTGGTGATCTCTACTTTGGAAAGTTTTTTCTGTTAAACATTGTTGGTAGGAATATCAATGCTGGATTGCATGTGTTGGTAGGACTATCAATGCTGGATTGCATGTGACAAGTTTAGACACTTGTTTTCTGTCCTTAAGGAAACAATTTGGTCCATTAGTAAGTAAAAATAAAATCAGATGTTACGTTATCTAGTTGTCTTGTGTGTAAGGTAGACTTAACTTCCCCTGCCAAAAAAAATAAAGTAAAATTAGATAAATTTTTCCAAAATAAAATCTTTTACTAGGAACATGCTAAGGCTGGAATCAACCGTACTTCCTTCTGATTGCATGTGTATAGAATCCACTGTAGAAAGGAAATTTCTTATTGCTATGTTTCTTACACTTTTGTAGCTTCTCCTACTGTTGCCTTTCATGTTATACCTAAGCTTGAGAAATTGGATCAAACCACCTAGGACATTATCCTCTCTACCTGAAGAAATGGCAGAATGATGGAATATTAGTTTTGTACATATATCACAGAGACAGATGCCTGGAGGCAAGAACAGCAGAATATCCTAGAATTAATTAAAAGCTTTTCTTTTAAACTATCAAGAGTTTAACTTGTCAGATGTTGAATTAACATGAAAGTTTAAAAAATAGCTATTAAGTTAGTGTATGTATTTTGTATTTCTAATTCTTTCCCAGTAACTGGTTCTTTTCAGAATAGTTTAGTATATGTCATAATTAAAGTTAGGGCTGGATTCAAATAATCCACTTCATTCATCCACTAGACAGATATTATTCAACTCCTTAATTCTTTGGGACTGCTATGAAGGTTTTCCCTCAAGCTTTCTGCCCTTCTTGAGTGAAATGAGTGCAAAAAAACTAATTACTTGTTTCAGCAAAGCACATACTAATTTTTCTGGATAGAAAAAATATATTATGGACTTGTGGCAGAGAACCACGTAGTTTTATTACATGCAACAAATAGAGAACCCAGTGGATATAATAGGTGTTACATGTATTTATCATGTGAACTCATAGACTTTTTGTTTGGTAATCACTGCTTTAAATTAGCTGGCATTACAATATGATGTCATGTGGCATGGAAGGGTAAGGAAAAGGAATTTTGTTAAAGGTAAAGTTGGCTCAAATCCAGCACAGTTACTCTTTTTTAAAAATTAGTACTGTAGTAGATATGCTCCTTGTTCAGGAATCAAGGCACATTCAAAGTTTTACTCAAACCAATGTGGGTGGTTTCCTCCCCACACTTGAAATAGCTTCTGTTTTGTGATTATTGTTCTGTAACTCCATCCCACAGCCTTAAAATTATGATGTTTGCAAGTCTGGGCTTCCCAAAGCCATTGCAATGCATTTGAACAATTGAGGAATTCCTGAAAATGGGAATTATTGAGCAACAAATGGAAGGAAGACTACTCCAAAGTCCTTTTAGGAATTTGCAGCTGGAGGTATGTCTTAGGGCAGCATTCCCCAACTAGCACCCTTTAAACAAGTTGGATTACAGCTCTTATCAACCTCTGCCCACACTACCAATGGCTTTCATACCAGGAATGGTGGGTGTTTTAATTCAGCACATCTGGACATCATTTGGGGAACACTGTCATAAGATCTGGTTCTGAAATGTATTAATGTGTAAAAATGGTGCATGAGAAATTACTCATATCTTCATGTTTCTTGCTTGCCTTTGTACTCTACCAAAAATCTGCCATTTAGGGCTGGTCTGCACTGTTGCTTTACAGCACATGAATCTTCAATTGGGGTGAATTAGAAGTGCCTTTTCCCTGCACAACTGGACTCCAGGCACTGAGCAATCCTATCTTTAGAAAATCACTCCAATTTAAAGAGCCCGCACCCCTCACAGTACCACATCAGTATTTAGTTCAGCAAAAAGACAACAGTAAAGGTGCTCATAGTAGAGTGGAAATTAAAGTATTCTTTCAATATTGACAAGCTCCTCAATATTGCTTGTCCACAATGTCTACAACATGCTATTTTTATGTAGCTGACATGTCCACAATTCTTCTAATTTATTTATTTTTCTCCCCTCACCCCCAATATCCCTCTCTCACACACATATGCATTCTAGCCCTTGTATCTCAAAGAACATCTGTTATCCTAGTACAATCTAGCAAACAGAGAAAGGAAAAGAGACAATTCACAGAAACACAGAACCCACTAAATGTGCTGATAGCAGTACAAACCAAAGCTGCATAACATGTAAGCTGGTATAATTTGCAGTGCAGACTCAGCTTCATATATACCAATACACTGTAGTTATAGAAATTGACCTTAATCATGTTAGCAGATTTAAAACCTGCAAACAGACATGGATTTAAAGTAATGTATCAAATAGTGTGAGACATATTTTGTAGTGTAGCTCAAATCCCCATACTGTGTCCTATGCATTTTTCTCAACAATAGTTTCTGATTGCCTGAATGCTAGCCTTGATCAGGTTCCAGTCAGACCAAAATTACAATTTCTGTGTGTATAAAGGAAATATTTTTTCTTAATATGTATAATATCTGCTTATTTTCACTGCAATAAAACTTTTTTTGTTTCAAGTACGTATGAGATTATTATTGAACACTATTAGCAATGTTTCCATACACATTATAATTGTTTAATAGTTGACTCTGATATTTTTTTCATTTCTGACCAGTTGTAGCCTAGTGTGGAATTCAAGGGCAGTGGATTACACTGGAGTTCTGTGTCTAAGACAATGGTTCTCTACCTGTGGATCCCCAGATGTTTTGGCCTTCCACTCCCAGAAATCCTAATAGCTGGTAAACTGGCTGGGATTTCTGGGAGTTGTAGGCCAAAATACCTGAGTACCCACAGGTTGAGAAATACTGATCTAAGAAGTCTCCAAAGTTGCTAGAGCCTATCTTGAAATATCTATGGGTTTTTTTTCAGACATTGGTGATTTCAGTATGTAGCAAGGCCTGAATCAGTGGTCCCATACCTTTGCTCTCCAGCATGACTGTGTAAGGAGTAAGAGCAGAGCCAGAGGGATAGTTGAGACTGAAACCATGTTATCCTGGGACGAGCCATGAGTTTTTGCTGCTCAGCTCCTTTATCACTGAAATTTCTCTCCTTCCATTTACCTTTGAAGCTATTTTTTAGTTTTATCTTCAGGAGGGAGGAGTCTTAGCAGGATGACAGTGCAGGAAGAAAGTGTTATAGCTGCTTGCCCAGCTGAGGTCTTGAGCCAGATTTCATCCCCACTCCCTATTTTTCATGTAAATATATGAACAACTCTAGACATCATGGGATTCAAATATGTGTGGGGTTCAAAAGCTGGACTTGCAATCCATTTGTTAAGCTAAAGGGCAGTGGTAAACTTCAAATTTTGGTACTATGATTGAGAAAGGGAAAAGTGTATAACTGTGAGAAAAACCCAATCCATATTTAATTTTCCATAGACAGTCTTGTGAACGCAAATCACAAAAGAACTCTCTTGGCTTGATGAAAGAGGATTAGACCAAAGAATATTGTGAAAGATTAGTTGTCTCTCACTGAGAAGGAGGGCACCGCAGAGCAGTTCCTGAAGCAGCTCAAGCCTGGCAGAGGACTAAATGAAGGGTTTTCCTGGCTTGACCTGCAGGTAGTCATTTCCTAGTACACACTGCAAGCGTCCATAAGCATTTGCTCAGGAAGCAAGCACCTTTCCCATTCTACTCCTTCCAGAAAGAGAGATAAAGCTAATAGGTTTATACGACTAAATTGGAATGTTTATATATAACTCCAAAGTACACTGATGACATATGTGGTACCGTATTTCCCTGAAAACAAGACTGGGTCTTATATTAATTTTTGCTCCAAAAATGCTTTAGGGCTATTTTATTTTTTCATGTACAACAATCTATATTTATTCCTTTATTCATGTACAAAAATCTCTAGTCCAAAGGCACACCCTTGGGTATTTACAAATACATAGTTATGATTTATATTATCACTTATTTTAAGTATTAATGACAATAATATGTATTTATATTTTATTATATATGAATACTAGGGCTGGGCGGTTTCGTTTCGTTAATTCGTAATTCGTTAATAATTCGTTAATTTTTTCAATTACAAAACGATAATGAACCATTCTGGAGCAATTATTAAAAAACGAATTTTCAAAAACGTTTTGTAAATGCTTCATATTTCGATATTGTATTCGTTTCGTTATTGTTTTGAGGTCGTTTCGTTATTATTTCCGCATGTCTGGGCCAGTTTTATGGTTTAATTAGTGAAAAAAAATTATAATATCACACCAACAGTCAACAACAGAGGGAGAGGGAAGCTTCAGAAGGTTTTGGAGGTTTTTTAGCGTATTTCGCGGTCGCGTCCGCCATTAACGAATCGATTAGTTATTGTTTCGGAAATCGATTCGTTAATTTTTTACCATTTACGAAATTTCGTAAATATCGAACTTTTTAAAAGGAAAATTTTGTAATTATTTTAAATATCGAAACAAAAAAACCCCCAAATACAAATCGATTTTAGAAACAAATTTTTCCGTTGTTACCCAGGCCTAATGAATACCATTATTTTAAAATTCAATGCATCTGTTGTGTGTTACAATGGATGTACTAAATGCATCCGTCTGGCCAACAATCTTAACTGGAACTTATATTGGGGGTAAGGCTTATACTATGACCATCCTGAAAAATCATATTAGGGTTTATTTTCCAGGATATAAGGTATCCTAGAAAAAAATAAAAATGGCTATCACGCAGACCTTTTCCCATGGTAGGAAGAAATAGTCACAAATGTTATGCTAAGTATTGGGACTGTGGAGGTGAAGGACAAGTTACTTTAGTACAGACATGGGCAAACTTTGGCAGGATCAAAACTGGTGGTTAGGAGTTGGATGAGAAGCCACCAACTAATGCCAGGTGTTATGGGTAAAACTACCTCTGAGAATCCTTGCCCTTTGGAATTCATGGGGTCATCTTAAGTCAACAGGCAACTTAAAGGTGCATTCATACACACACCTGCTTTTTTGGACCTGTGGGGTGTAGTGGTTTGAATGTTGGATTAGGAGTCTGGGAAACCAGGGTTTGATTCCCTGCTCAGCACTGGCTTCTTGGGTGATATTGAGCAAGATATAATATCTCAGTCTTAGAAGGAATTTAATAAGTAACTATAAGTTGGAGTCAACTGATTGAGTAATTATAAGTTGGAGTCAATTTGAAGGCACATAAAAAATATTTCTTTTCTCCGTTTTCTCCAATTTTGTTATATTGTGGTGTCTTTTACATTATATGCCTGAGGGTAAGAGTATGTTTTTTAGTTGAAGAGGTAGAAAAGATGTTTGAAATAAATAAGATACTCAAGGGCTATGCTTTGAACAAAGGTAAACATATTTCCATCATATATATGTCTGGAATTTCACAGACATATAAAATGCAGAACAAGTAATGTAAAGGAAACCAAATAAGTAAGGGCACCAGATGCCATGCATTCCTCCAATTAGTGTCTAACAGAACTAACAGCAGACACAGGCTGCTGGAAGCTCTTGCATAAAACACTTAGTGAAAGAGAAGTAGCTGGACCATAACAAGACCGTTCAGCTTCTTATAATGGATTGTACCTCCACGTGAGTTAAAGACTTCTGACAAGATTTCTTAACCATCAGCACATCTGGTTATCTGAGATTCACTGAAGTGGTGCTGCCCAGTCAAATTACTTATGCATCATTTTGTGGTTTAGGGCCCTAAGCGAAATTAATCGCTTTTTCCAATTATATATAAATAGGTCAGCATTCTTCCCATGCAGTTGTTAACTGTCACTCTGAACACCGACAACTGTTAGAAACATGAGTACCTGCCACCCAGTTTTTCAGTTACTTGCAGCACTCAAGGAAGGCTTATCAGTATGCAAAATTCTTGTAGTAAGGAGGAGATTAACAATTACTTTTGAGGGTACATATTCTAGCATCCCTCTACCAACATGGCCAGTATAGACAATAGACCACTCTGCGAGCTATGCACCAAAAAATAATGTTGGTTCTCCATGTTCTGTTTTAAGTTTCTATGCACTATAATTTCTGATGACCTCTAACATGAAAGTGAAATGCTTATAAAATTAATTCAAGTAATATAATATTGTATGTTTCAACATTGAAATTCATATTTATACATCTGTTGAAATATATTTTAAACAACTGATGGACTGAAAGCTAGTCTCTATATGTTTAGATCTTAATATATCTATTCTAATTCTAAGGTGACCCAGATCTTTTTGTATACAGATTTACAATATGGGAGAAAATTGTATGGGACAAAGTTTTCCATGAGCAGAACAAGAGGAAGAAAAGTAGTCAAGTAGCTAAAATCTTTTTATTCAGGCAGGCTTTTAAAGATGAAGGTTTTTAATATCAAGTTGGGGGGTGCTGTGATTTTTAAACTTCAAATTTGTTTTAATAGTTTTTAACTGGGAATTTTAAATGCTGTTTATATTTAATCTTGTTTTAATGTTTGCATGCTTTCATGTTAAGCTGCTTTGACTCTCCTGCAGGAGCGATAAAGTGGAGTATAAATAGATACTACAACAACAGCAACAACAACAACAACAGCTTTATTTTTGTACCCCGCCTCCATCTCCCCGAAGGGACTTGGGGCAGCTAACATACAGCACCATGTGCTTAGAACAACACATAAAATAAACACACAATACAATAAGAGATAAATCCACTAGCATATAAAACAATGATTTAAACTCAAACAGTGCCCAATAGCCTATGGTGAGAACTGTTTTAAAACATGGCCAACCATAACCAGAAACAGGAGAATAGGATAGTGCAAGTTGTAGCTCATGAACTAGGGCATGGGACGAAAGTGCAGTGCCCTGTCATTAATTGCGGACCATTGGGGTTAGATATTCTCAAAGGCTTATCCAAACATCCAAGTTTTCAATTTCTTCTGGAATGAGGACACTGTGGGGGCCTGCCTAATCTTTCTGAGGAGGGCGTTCCAAAGCCAGGGGGCCACCACTGAGAAGGCCTTCTCCCTCGTCTCTATCAACCATGCTGAATAGTTATAAGGATAGTTATGCAGTACCATGACTGTTCTATGGACTAAACAGGGAATAAATATCAAGCCATGGTGGTGCACCTTTTTGACAAAAGTTCCTTTGCACAGTCCTGGATTTTGCAATTTGGTAAGTAAGTAACTCATGCTCTCTGGTAGAGAATTCTAATTGCTGCTCTCTAAAATACAAGCTTTTAAAGTCCATGGCTGTTAAAGTGGAATTATAAAGTAAGAAAAGACCCCTAAATAGTAACACTGACAATGGAAATGTTGTGTCATTAAAACTATTAAACATTAAAATATTAAAATGTATTAAAACTCCACACCCTCCAAAATTCCAGTCACCCCCCTCCCCCAAACCCTCCCCCAAACCCTGCCTCTCATCAGTCCATAAATGCCAGAGAGCAGAGGAACATTTTCATCTGACCACAAAAGGCAAGCAGGAATGGAGCCATTCTGGTCTTTCTAAGAAGAGAGTTCTACAGTCTGGAAGCAGTTACCAAAAATGCTCTGTCCATACCAGAGATGCAGAAGGTGAT